CTCTAGCCGGGGGAGCTAAGAGGGAACTGAGGGGAGTTCACAGCACTAATTAACCATGAGGTAGAGCACAAAAGAGGGAGAGAACATGTTCAGACCAAATGGACACTGCCACCAAAGATGTCCAATTAAAGCTCAGGAACACACACACCCCTACAGTGGAGCACCCACATGGAAAATACTCAAAGAAAAAATCAGGAATTTCCATTGCTTACCTTAATGGGGTCCAGTAAACTTTCAAAAATATTGACATATAAAGGTCATTGTAATGACTGTCAATTTTCATACTAGAAAAATTAATTCAAAGTAACTGTACATGCATCATTTTCTGGTGTTCTGAAGACCAATTCAGTATTCTGTTGAATATTTCAGATTTGGTTAATTTAGATGCACATTACTTACTTCTCTTTAGAAAATACAAATAAAAGTACTCTTAAAACAGTATTTATTGAAAAAAATTGAACATGTAGGCTTGTGTGGATATTCTAGACAAATAATGCATTAACAGATATTTAGTTCTATACACTGATTGATATTCCTTACCCCTTAATACATGAACAAAGGGTATTAAAATAAGAAACAGGGCTAGAAGTCCCATCATCTCCTGAAGAAAATCCATAAATTTAGCAAGAATTTTCTATAGAAAATGTTATTTATTTTTCAATCTCTGTTCACAGCTGCATTTTTCAAGGGCCACAATAAGCTAAATCCTACACAAACATTCCTTGTGCCAAGGCCAATTAACAGTTATGACATCATACAGAAGAGTACATGCCATAATAATGAATAGATGCAAGAGTGGGACATGTAGACTCAGTACCATTAGCTCTCATTAGGGGAAATAGGATAGCTGAGGATTGATTCGCATGGTGTGATTTTTGTACATAATGTGTTCTGCTTTAAACAGTTCTGCCTTTGTATTATGTGCCCAAATGGTGTATCTATCACATTGCCTTTGTCTTATGTATCAAGTGCAGCAGTACAGGACAATTAAAAAACACAGAAGACACAGGAGAGATGAGTAATAACTATCACAATGCAGACACACTCCAGACTAAATGCAAGGGCTCTGCAGAAGGAACACTGATAGCCCCACTGCTCATCCTCTGCCTGACTGAATATGCAAAAAATGGATGTGAAGGCAGAAGACGCTGCAGGTATCTAATAATATTTTCTTCCAGTCTCCCCTGGGGTTAATGTCTCCCCACTCTGGATTGCTTTACAAATGCAGTCACTGATATATCTATTAAGTCTCGGGGAGAAATGCTGCACAGAAGCTTCTCATGTCTGCAAATCAGAAGTACTGTCCTAGTTACTACAACCCTCTCGCTCCCTTCTAGGTCACTGCTCCAGCCCTCCTTGTTCAGTTAGCTTCACTCCCCACATACACACAGCTGCACATCAATCCTAAATACCACAAATGAACATCTCTTTTCATGTACTCATACAGTCCCCATCAAAGTAGCACTGAAGTACCTCCCACATTTTTAAAAATAGAAAGTCTCACTCCCTTTCTTCCTATCTTACAAGGGAACTAGCTTGATTAGTTTACTGGATTTTTTTTTGCTCATGTTTTATGTACTTATTGAGGAAAAGTCACAGAAATGAGTTTGGTGTTGCATTTGGAATTCTGCATAACCACAGTCATTCTAATTCCTTGAAGGAGTGAGTACTATAGCCTAGGGCTATGTTTCCCAGATGGTGTTCCGTGGAACCTGGGGGTTCCGCAAAGTGAAAATAAGGGTTCAGTGAGAAAATTCCATTGTAACAACATTTTTATGCATATTAGTTTTTGAACTTTATTTTTTGTACACATTAAATGTGATTTTTGTTTTTAAATATGTGCAATTAAACTAAATGTTGATCTCATGACCTTGTTTGCATTTTTTTTTTACTATTATCTTTACTTATTTGTGGTCTACTTTTTCAGCTCCGTATATAAGACTGTTATTAGGGGTTCCGCAAAATTCTTGCAAGTTTAAAAGGGTTCCATGGCGAAATAAAATCGGGAAACACTTGCCTAGGGTCTTGGTCCTGCAAAAGTTCTGACTTTTTCCTGCATCAGCCTCTCCCAGTTGATCAGCACTTTCATTGTTCCAGTGGTAATAGAGGGGTAGCCATGTTAGTCTGATCTTCCTAAAACAAAAGGAAAAACTATGTATCACTTTAAAGACTAACAAGATGGTTTAATAGGTGATGAGCTTTCATGGGCTCGTTTGAGGAATATGATCTCAGGGTGGGTCTGGTCTATGAAAGCTCATCACCTATTAAACCACCTTGTTAGTCTTTAAAGTGCTACATAGTTTTTCCTATTGTTCCAGTGGGACACAGCTACCATGAGAGAGGTCATTGTTGCTAAGGAAAAGATGATCAGGGAATTCAGCCAGTACCATGGAGTACTTTGAATATTATTACACAACCTTTGAAAGATTCTCTATTCATTGGACAGCCAGTGTAGAATGGAGTATCAAGGTAATGTATTCATCACAACCTGCACTGCTAATCAAATTGCCTTTTTTAAAATCAAATACAGCTTTTTCAGGTGTGGCTTAATTCCCAGACACAATCATTATACTCTAGGAATCATGAGCATGTGGGTTGCTGTGGCCAGGTTTAAGTCCAACATAAAGGGGTTCAATCTATGGAAAGTCAGATGGAAATAAAATGTTTGTCATCTTGACAATTACAGCATCAACTGCACTCAAGAATCCTAGAGAAGCCCAAGGCCGCAGACTAATTTCCCTTCCCAGGTTTTTAGGAGCAGCTGACTGACTCACTGCCCTCCTAAGTTTTTCCAGAGGAATCTGGCTACTCCCCATTGCTCATCATTCTTTGGGGTAAGGTTTCAATCTTCCCCTGTCAACATAGATGACTTTTTGGGGACTGACACAGTTAAAAGTGTTGTAGACTGCCCCCAACCAGTGAAAGACAACTGATGGGTGAGATCTAAAAGGGAGCAAAGTAGCAGCAGTGACATCAGGGAAAGCCCAGTCCCAAGTGATAATGAAAGGGACATGACTTGCCAGCTTCCACAAAGTATGAAGAGAAGAAAAAGTCAGCCACTTCCAAAGAACCTCCGAAGATCAGAGGAGTTTCTCTCCCTTACCGTTTGTGATGGAGCATCTGTTCCGCATAGGGCTCAAAGGAGTTAATAGAGCTCTTGGTAGGCTGCACAAGAGGCAGCCAATAATGGCCAGACTGGCCCATATAAGAAGGGTTGCAGAGAAGAACATTGGCAGTTACTCCATTGAGCTTGAGGAGGGAAAAACTGGCTTCCTTGCAGGCTGAAGGTAGCAAGTGCCCCAGATGAAGTAGTGCTGCAGGCAAAGACCCAAGGAGTTAAAGACAGCTCATGACAAAATGAAGGGAACTGCAGGCTGAGGCAACAGAAAAGAGGGATGTTGGTGGGCTGCAAGGCAGTGGCTCAGGGAAAGGTACTGAGAGTTGAAGGAGGCACAGCACATGGCTGCCAGCTACAGAGTCCCTGGGCCAAAACCTGGAGCCGTGGGTGGGCCCAGATTCTGTCCTTCCCCTGCCTTGCCATTGAGGAAGTGGCCAAACAATCAGTTGCAGAAGCCAAGGAGGGAAGTGGCTGGACAGTGGATTGAGATATTGTGATACAGTGGATTGTGCTCCCTGAAGTGGGGAGCACAGAGTATGGCGGATGTGATGGCTGAGACACACCACCAGAAGCGGGCATGCTAGTTAGCAGAGCTGATCTGAGGGGCATCCAGCAGGGGCGCCACAGTGGTAAGTCGTACCCCATCACAGCCATAGGGAAGAAGAGTGGGAATAAGACAATTTTTTCTCTCCTGAACAGTGGGGCAAAAAGGATTGCTTGGTCTGAGGAGCTAGGGCCTCACTGAAAATATGGGGAGAGACATACCAAATCTTAGGGGCCAAAGAAACAAGAGCCATAGGATAAGATACTCGCTGTCACCTTTTTCATGAGATAGGGTCCCTAGCTATGGAGCCTCTCTCTCTCTCTTCCCTTCCCACTGGAACCTGGGAAGGATTCTTTCCTATTGATCATACTGGGGTGACAGAGGGGGAATGTTAGGTCTGAGCTTAGAGCTGTTGCTAGTGTCAGAGAGAGAGGTAGAGAACCACAGAGGTAAGCATCACATAGGAACCTAGATAGAAAGGCTGGACCATTTAAATCTCCCATTACTACCTGATGTCAATCCAATTTCTGCACTCTTTTTATTCCCAGTATATCCTGACCTGGCTCCCAGCTGCAAATACTTTGATGATATGCATGGAAAGGAAGTAAAGTCCTAATCTAGTTCTGCATACCCCTGCTGCCTATGTTACCATGATTTTCTCAAAGACTTTTGTTTCTAATGTTTTTATGAAATGCCTAAACCACATATGCTCACACTACTCCTGTGGGAATTCTGCTTCCCGTGTGCATGTGGAATTCATGTCCCTTTTACACTTCGCTTCCCGGCAGAAAAACAATTTTCTGACAGAAGCAAAGGAAAGCCACAAGAGTGATCGCACAGCCTTCCCCAGCAGTACCAGCATGTTGCTTTGGGTACCCAGCAGGAAGGTAATTCACTGCAGGAGAAAGGGAAGGCTAGGGACATCCTGGCTGCTGGCTCCTATCTTGTGCTGCGTGCAGCTGCTAGTCCCAGCTGGGCTGCAGCTGGGGGGAAGGGAAAGATTAATTCCCTTTCCCTTGCAAGAAACAGTCAGGGCTGGGTCAGACCCACCTCCATAAACTTCCCCAGCTGCAGGAAACTACTATTTACATGTTTAAAGTAGAACATAAATTATTTAGGGACCCAATTAAAAAAAATATGCACAGTCCATTTCACAAGCAATCATTTTTCACTTTCGCTGTTTCAACAAGGAGTTTGATGCAAAGTACATATCAAACCATAGATGTAGGATAACAGAATGGGATAACACATTTTTTAAAGGGGAAATAAAATATTCTCTACTGCATGATCATGGTAATTACATTAACATTGATACAGAAGAACAAGTCCCATACTCACTTTCAACATGTGCAAATGCACAAAAGGGACCCCGTGGGCAGTAACCTGTTTGACGCATGTCATTGCACTTTGTAGATTTGTAAATCTTAAAAAAAAAAAAAAAAAGACAGAAAGTGAGTAACTTTCAAATTATCTGGGTGATAACAGCAAAAGGGCTCAATCTATTCAATTTAACAGAGAAAGTTAAAGGCTGACATGATTACAATGTACAAGTACATATCTGGAGAATAAATAAATTTAACAACTGGATATTAGAGTTCTAGCAGAGAGAGGTGTAGCATAATCCAATTGCTGGAAGTTGCAGCTAGACAAAAATCAGACTGGAAACAAGACAAATTTTTAAGAGAGAGGGTAAATAACCATTGGAACAATCTCCCAAAGTTGTGGTGATTCTCCATCACTGACAATTTTTAAATCAAGATTAAATTTTTTCTAAAATAGGAGCTCTACGAATTATTTTTGGGCAGTTCTATGATGCCTTTAGTCATCTCTCTCATCTTATATGGAAGCTGTTCCATATCTTTTCTCACTTTTATTTCCCTTCTCTTTACTACTTCCAATTCTAATATTTTTTTGGAGCTAGAGCAACACTGCACACAATATTCAAAGTGTAGGTGTATGACAAATTTATATAGAAATAGGAGCTCTACGAATTATTTTTGGGCAGTTCTATGATGCCTTTAGTCATCTCTCTCATCTTATATGGAAGCTGTTCCATATCTTTTCTCACTTTTATTTCCCTTCTCTTTACTACTTCCAATTCTAATATTTTTTTGGAGCTAGAGCAACACTGCACACAATATTCAAAGTGTAGGTGTATGACAAATTTATATAGGGGC